TGTGTGGAGTCAAGGTGCCTTGCTTCACTACCCCCCTTTGCACGGTACCTTCCCAATGTTGAGAGGATGTGGCCTGGTAAAGTTTAGCAAAGTAGGGCCAGCACTCTTATTGTCCCCTCTTTTCTTGGACAGCCAGGCTGCATACCTGGATGAGAGCATTTTTTACTTTTTGGGGGGACACTACACATTTTTTTTTCTTAATGGCCCAGAACGTCATTTAGAAAAATGGTGTGGGGCCCCCCTTTGTTACTCATTAACAAAAAAAATTTAAAAAGCAAAAAAAAGCACCCAAACCATAGAAAGAGTCCTTTATTGAAAAATAAATAAATAATGCCTCCATCCCCATGTAAATCCAATGTCAATCACGTCGCCCAGCAATGTAGATGTACATAATTATGATACAGTAAGCAACACCAAAAGATGCTGACTGGCTGCCATGATGATACTACCCACACTGCTACTCCCATCACTAATAACAGCTCCCCAGCTCTGCTGGACTTTAAAGACATAGCCAGGGAAGCCAGGGATCTGCTATTTAGAGGCGGTACTGCTAGTACCTCAAAATGACAAATCCTCTGTTTTGTTGACATACAAAAGTAGTGCTACCCCTGCTAAATAACAGATCCTCGGCTGCTGATTGCTTTTGACAAAACATTTAATTTGTTTTAAAGTTATTTCCTACTGCTCCAAAACTTCATGTGTGGGTTTAAGACAACCACAAAGCATGTTATTTAACATGGTACCTGGCTTTGTTCACCGTTCACTGAACAGTGGTGTCTGCATAATTTTGGACATATAGTGACATATGTGTTGCAGACCTTTCTTGAAGATGATCCAGATGGGATACCTGTTGTCATTATATTCATACTAACAGCAAAAATTAGCAATCTACGTTGACACCAAGGGCAGTCAACAAATTTCCTACAAATCAGATTTTTATGTTACAAATTTACAGACACCAAAGACTATCACTTCTCTTCTTACTGAAATGAGAGGCAAACAAAATGTAGTGCATTTAATATCACATTTGAACCTCACCATTCATATGCACTTTATGCCACACTTTTGAATGAGATGGCTCAGACCCACATTAACTTTTTCAAAACTGAACCAAATTTCACATGCTGATGGTGGGCTTTCACCATAATGTACAAGCATGTAATGCATACTTGCACATTATGGCACACTTACCTCTCAGTTGTGCCAGCCTCCAGGAGTGAAAGGCATAGCCTAAAGTCAGCGATCCTTTCCACAGTACTCCTTCTGGGCCACTGAATAGCCACTAATGATATAACTCCTGTGCACATGAGCAGGAGTTATAAGGTTCCCGAATGAGACGGGATATAGAATGCATGGCATATATATATATA